ACGTCTGGGCAAGATGAGAACTTAGGTCCAGTGTTAGGTTCCCTTCAAACTCGCGAGGGAGAAAAAAGAAAAAGAAAGCTCCAGCAACTGGGACTTGCACAAGGATTCCAATATCTGAAATAAGGGAAGGCCAAGTTTCGCGGGCCATGAGCTCGAAATACCTCCCCAAATCGATACGCTCGCCATAAGATAGGTAGAACATAGGGGCGTGTCTCAAGATTGGACACGCATGGTTGGTTTCCCTTGGTTCTAGTTTCAAACCAATCCGGCGTTCCAACAAAATGGACGCTCGTATACATGGCAAGGGGATTCCGATATCTACTCCTTTGACTTTGTCTCATGTCCTGGAATGTCCGGGAAATGGCTGCAGGTCAAAACAGATACCCACGTAAATAGAAACATAGACAAAAACCTGCGGTCTCCTGGTGGTTTCATTTTGACCTATAGCCAAATGACATGAGAAGGAATCAATGCAACAAGATGTCGGACGCTGCTCATGTTTAATGAATATTGATCAGCTGCAAAGAAGGGCATGCGATGGACATGTTAGGACTATTTTGCAAGGCCACACCTTCCTTCCATTTGGTTAAGACCCCCGGAAACATATAAATGTTTGCAGTAGTGATAAATTCCCTTTAAACACAAGATGGACAAATAAAAAATAATAATAAAAACAATCTTAAGCAAATGGAAGACACTCTTTGGGGCCACAAGGTTTCAGGGCGCGGCAAGCGGCAGAAGAGCAATCTACGGTTCCAACTCCCGATTCCTCGCGCCTGTTTCAACAACCTCCCTTTGGTTCTCCTTGAGGGGGCAATGGTTGCTTGAACAAATTTCGAACAACCCAGGCTGTCAACGTCCATGCCGGGGCTCACCTTGCCAAGCAGAAGAGCGCGGAGGAATTGCGAGCCCAGGCACACGGGTAGGATGTTGGTCTTTTCACCAATTGTCCACCGGGTGTGTCTCCAAATAGGATATGGATATGGAACCCAAGGAGCCCGAAAAAAAAAAATGGGTGGCTTCCTTTTGGTCTCCCTTGAGAAAACCATGCAAAAAGCTCGCCTCAAGAAGAACAACGTTTCTCCTTTCAATGAGCCCTGCTACAGTTGCCATTTGGGGGTTGATCAATATTCCCGTAGGCCCCCAAAATGACCATGGGTAAGTGTTCCCATTTCGTGGTACAAGTCATCTTCTAGCGAAATTGGTGGTGAAAGTCAACTTTTGTTGATAGTTTCCCTAGTGGTCAACCCATGTATCACTGGACTTTTTGATCACCCCCCCCCCCCGCACCGAACCACCCCCCCCATTTAGTGAAATGAGTAATGAAAGTCATCGTTTTGTGGTTGGAACCCCCATTTGGTTGGAACCCCCATTTGGTTGGAACCCCCATTTGGTTGGAACCCCCATTTGGTTGGAACCCCCATTTGGGTGGAATCCCCCAAATGACCTTTTGATCAACGCCCATTTAGTTCCACCCCCCCCCCCCTGGGGAGAGGCGCTTGGCGAAGTCCGACCAGTCCCGGAAGTTCGGCTCTTGGAACCTCAAGGCAACGAAGCGACGCCGGTTTCCTATGCTCAGTTCTTCAGTGACCCTGGAAAAAAAGAGAACTCTTTTTGGGGCTTGGACCATTTTGAGTGGGGCAGCCACCCAAAAAAAGGAAAAAGGGTGCCACTGAACAACTGAGTATGTGGATGGCTCATCTGCTTTTCTGAGTTGTTGCTCCTTGTTTGGTTTTGGTGGTGCTAAAGGGAAGCCTAAAGAAAACGAAAACCATTTCTTGGGGGGGGCCTTTTTCGTGGTGTTCAAGGGAAATCAAAAGGAAGCCCGTCATTTTAGTGGGTCCAACCTAAAAACAGACACACCCATGGTTCCTTCCCGTTGAAACATCGAATCTACATTCGTGATGCTTCAAAGAAGCCGAACAGAAAAAAGGGACAACAAGTTCTTCGGTTTTGTTTTGTAGTTGGGGGTCCATCTCTGGCCGACTCTGGCAGCACTTCTACCATCGAGAAGCTCCAAGGAGCTGAAACCAGCCCAAAACACTCATCAAAATTGTGTTATTTTCCCAGCCATTTTCGATGGTTGTTTTCGATGGTTGTTTTCGATGGTTGTTTGTTATTTTTCCCAATATATTCACCACGCAAGTCATTGTTTTCCCATTCTGCCACAAAGTTCCCCTTCTCCAATCCACCAGTCCGAATCGCCAATTACTCGGGCGCTCAAACCACTTAGGTTATCATCATGGTTAGGGGACGATCGCCCAGTTACCCCAGCTACCCCAGTTATGACCATGAATATAAGCTACTTGCCGAGTTTGCCGAACACCCAAGTAATAAGAGTCTAGGGCTTGATTTCCAACCATAGTTTTTCGACCGTCCTTTTTTTTCGAAAACCGATCCCCCCGGTTTCCCTACGTTTCCAGAGATTTCTAAAACAGAGGGATCCCCAAACCAACGTTCTACCCTTCTGGCTATTTACAGCGGAGCAACTCTCCTAACGTAAGATCCTCAAAATATGATTTAAGAGCGTCTCAGCGGTCTCAGCGGTCTCAAACTCAACTCCTCAAACAGTGCACCCTCAAAAAGCGACACCCAGACTTTCACCAGGAAGCCAAGAGCACACCCATGGGTTTTCACCGAGAACCACATGCCTGCGCCACAGGTCCTCAACCACAAACTGCACCCAAAACGGAGGATGTTCTGATTCTGTTTCACATGAGTCGCAATCACAACCCGGTATTAAAATGGTCGTGATCCCAGAACCATGCTTCAAGAATTAAGAAGGCGGCCGCAAATATTTATGGCTGGGAGTCTCCCTTACTAACTTTCATCTACCCGGGTTCTGATTCTGTTTCACATAAAGTTACGTCGCCGAATAAAAAAAAAAAAAACACGCCTCAAGGACACCCCCCAAGTCTCTTCTACTCCTAAACTTCCATTTGCTTAAGTCCACTGGAAAAAAATTTAAAAAAAATCCAGTAAAAATACGGGTCTAGAATAGTTAGCTTTCTGTGGGCGTCCCTTTGGAGAGTGTGACATCCATTTGGCCATGGGTCAAAATCCCGTAACCGCAGTGAACATCCCAATCCCCACTAAAATGGACTAAAATGGGTGGTGCACCTACCCCAAAATGGTACCATTGGTTTTGACCCACAGCCATTTGAGAGTTGCCCGCATGTTGCCATGGAACCCGACTGGAGGGTGACCCTGGAAGACAATGCTCCTTTGAAATGGACCTTCCATGTTAGTGGATAGGGTAAGAAACCAAGATACCGGTACCAAAATGGCTTGCCCTGGTAAGTGGAAACATGGACCAAAGCCTGCGGTTTGCCCCTCGATCGTTTCATTTTGAGCCACACCCTCAGAACATGGGTCCTTCAGTAGAGAGATTTGAATAAGGGTACCCGACTTTTTTCTCTGTAGTCGATTTTAGTAGGGGAACCCTCCCAACCAAAAAAAGGGTGAGAAAGGGCACTACTTGCGGACCTAGCAGAACATGCGTCCCAACCGCATGGAGCCTGCAGCCGAGCGGCCCGCACATCAGGGACCACCCCCGGATCCGCTCCGGCGCATCATTCAGCGCCACCGCGCTGAGCAAATCGGCGCCCATGGCGCGATTTGTTCACGGCCAAGGGTGTTTGTTGCGGCCAAACCAGGATCCTTACACTATACACCTGAACATTGCCTTGTAAATGGTGGTGTCCCTTTCATTTTGGTGAAAAAAAACCCATGTTTCAATTGGGCAACATGTATCTTTCAAGGAGCCCTTGCCAAAGGGAAAGCGATGCGTGGGCAAAGGGTGTCTTGGTTTGTTCGGCGCAAGGTGCTGTTTGTTGGCTTCATGTTGTCAATGCCGACACCTAGTGGAGGTCTGCCAACATCTGACTTCACTTGAATCTTGGCATCTGCTTCGGTGATGCGGTTGCCAACAAGCCCCTTTGGCCCTTGAATAATCAGTTCTATGTCACTGGATTTCTTAAGTTTGATCAGTCTAGTGGTCTTCATTGAAACGATCGCCACCTTTGGGTAAGAGAAGCGGCAAAGCAAAGACGGCCGCGGGCGACGCGGGCGGCTCCGAAGCGCAGAGACGGATTTCCCAAATGGATCGCGGGGGTGAGACCCTCGGATTGCAACGGCTTCTCGCGAGAGCGATGGATACCTATGCAGGTCTCTCAAAAGGAATCGGCAAAGATAATTCCCGCGTGTAGGTTTTTCAAGTGCCTGTATGCCACGATGGTTGCAGCGGGCGGCCGCAACAAGGGCCAGTTTCCGTGATACCGGAGTCAGCTGTAAAGTGGCAAAGTAGACAATGGATGGACATGGGTGTGGGCCAAAACTAAACCACCAGGGGACAACAGGTTTTGGTCCATGTTGCCACTTTCCAGGGTTCCATTTTGGGTACCTATTTTTGACCTACAGCCACATGTTGCTTCAACATTGAGAAAAGAAAGGATGCCTAGGTCATTAGGCCACTTCTGCCCCGAGTCTATGCTCTGAACGAAGGAAGCGCACCTGGGTTGGCGCGCTCATGTACGTACCGACGTACCGACTCGCGCGAGTCGGTCCCAGCCTTTGAGCGGGGGGTCCTTCACCCAACAGGACGTTTATTTGGCTGTGGGTCAAAAATGGGGTAACCCCAAAATGGGTACCACAGGGTAAATGGAACCAAGGACTAAACCCTGTGGTCCAATTCCTGGTGGTGAAAATTTTCAACCACACCCATTTAACCTAGAACGTGGTCCCTATATTCGAACAAGAAAACTGCAGCTGCGCCCAGCGCCCCTCCATCGATGTACTGATTTCTACCAACTTCCGGCCTAAATGGTGGCCTTCCGCGACGGCAAAGAAACAACAAGAATCCCCACACAGGAACCCCTCGAAACAACAAGTCGGGGCTTCAAATGCCATGTCCGGATTTTACTAAGGGGCCTTTCCTGACTTTCCTCTGACGTGCCCTCCCCAATCGGGCTTCAACCCGCCCGAGGCATCGAGGCATCCAC